AATTGTTTTAAACAATTGTACCTTCGTCTTTCTGCCAATCTAACTGGTGCCCCATATTCTTCGCATCCTATGAAAAGCCTGTCTAGCTTTACTCAGCCTATGTTGTATGTCCTTGGTTGTTCCACCTTCTTTGTCCAGCAGTGCGCCTAAGTACACAAACTCTTTCTTTATGGTTAACATGGCGTTGTAATCTTGTCGCTTCTCGTTCGCAAAGCCAACCTTACCCTACGTAACAAAATCAAAAGACAAACACCGGCTGATTGCGGACTGTCTCAGTGTCGCCTCAGTGTCGCTTGATCCTTTCATCTCACCTCTGAGCAATATCGAGTCAGCCACACTGTTTAAACGGATGTTTATTTAACCCTAATTGTCTTGACCCATTACTAAGTTTAATAGCGGAGCTCCTGCGCGCCGAAGGCGCGCAAGAGGAGCCCCATACCTTAGAAAATTTGGTAACCCATCGATGTCAAAAAGTTTGGTTGTCACGTGACTGTCCGTCCGTCCGTCCGTACGTCCGTACGCCAAGCCCCATACCTTGAAAAATAAGAGTATCACCATTACCGTAGGTACATCTTTGATATTGGACAGCCATGTTATAATTAATTGACAGCTGTCAAAACAAGGAATACGCTGACCAGTTTCACGTGACCATATCGCGGACTCAGGTCAAGAGCTAATTGAGATCGCGTGTTTGTTGGAAGATGACCACTGATCAGGTACTGGGTTTTGATTTGATCGCGGGCTCACACCAGGTTATAACTCTGGGGAAGAGGGAGGGAGTACATGCAAAGGCAAAATTTCGGCGCAAATTAAACCCTTACACTCATAAGGTATGGTTTGTTAAAATATAACTAAAAATATAGTGAAATCACACACTGAACAATCATATGCTCACGATTGATCATTTTTTTGAGTTTCTGACACAGGGGAAAATATGTTCTTTTGTTTATGGTTAAATATTTAATTAGGAGCTCCGCTTTTAGACTTGGCTAAATCTATATATTAGTCATGAATGAAGTTCGACGGTAACGTATAAACCGCGAATCGAAACAAACCTGAACCAAGAGTGGCTAGTAACAGTGTGACAGCAGGACTGAGGCAGATGTGCCAGCAGAGGGGCAGTACTACTTAAGTGTAACTAAATTTAAATTTATCGCTTACACTCATTGATATTCTGATATTAATAAGAAATTTGCTCTTAAATTCATATTTTGATCATTGCTATCTTTGTGTCATCGTAGTAATAACTAATTATTTCTTCAGCTCGACCGTCTGATAGATTTGAAACCTTTTTGGAAAAATCCGAGACCTAAAGCAACATAAAAGTGGTGCTCAATTAAAGTATTCCCCGAAGATATCCAAGTGCTTGAACTTGACGTCGGTCAAGCTGCGCCCGATAGAGTTAAAAACGGCGCACGGGAACAAACCCAAAAATTACTGAGATATTTGTTTCATGGCCAAAACATGCTTCCTTTGTGTTTTTTTTCTAATTAAACAGTTATCATTCATTTGGTTCAAAAGAGGAGGCTTTCGTTATAAAATGTATGGAAAGAAAATTCTGCGCACAAATGTGGTCTCTTCAGCACAGGCTTCTACTACTTACAGGTTGAAATGAAATCGCACAGACAACGCAAACAAAACAGATCAATGAGAAATGAATTAATCCACAAGTAGCATTCCTTGTGGTTATTATTACCGAGAAAGCGTTTTAATATCACCAAGAGACGGTGTATTTCTCACACTAATAGTAGCATACTTGTGACTAATAATAGTATGTGTTTTTAAAATGAGTATTGCATTTTCCTAAATGAAACAAAAAAGCATTTTTGCTGGGAGGCTATAATAAGCAAACAATGAAGTCCTTGAACCCTTAGATCATGCTTAGATCTAAGTAAACCAACTTGACATACAGTACAATTGTTCTAAACTAGTGCTGAATGGCGCTAATAGACTGATACAAGAAACAGAGTATACAAAGAACACTGTTTAGCATTTACCTACGTGCGCAGCTTGAGAACACAAAGCAGAAGTTTCTGAGGTATTGTAAGCTGTTTTAGTTACACTGCCTTAAAAAATGAATTCTCGTCAGATCAGAATTTCTCAAACGATTAAAATTTCCTACCAAATGAACATCTCTCGACTAATACGAGATCTCGACTGGACCAGAACTTCTCGACATCTCAAAAATCCCAGATTTTTACGGCCGGCAGGCCTCGGTTTCACGTACTTCGTCAATAATTCTTGAAAAGTTTACTCTCATCTTTTTAGTAAGAATGACATCTGGGCGTAGTTTTAAACTGGGCATGAAAGCTAATCTTGGCTGATATTGTTTATTACATTGTGGCTTTCTATACATACCAGCGTAGCTGCAAACTTAAGGAGACAACTGTACTTTGTAGGCGGAGTACTTAACTTGGTGACTGGATGAGTCGATAGGAGAACACAGACGAACGGTAATATAGCGGATTAAGACAAAAACGTTAAACTATTTATATTCAAGCACTAAGGGTTCCTAACGCCAAGAGGAATGTAGACTGATAAATACAGAGTTCCGAGCAAAAACAAAAATATAACAAAAACTGCTGAACTCAGTCACGTTCCGCTCGTGCGTCCACTGGCAGTTTTTCAAGACCTAACGCGTGCATTACTTTCTCCGAAACATGGAACATCATCTTTATTTGGTAAACAGATTTGAAAGTATGAGCAGAATTCGGCGCTCATACCAATACTGTGTATAATGGGAATATTTGTCACCAGCAGTGCTTTGAACTATGACTGTTCGATACAATGACAGAGAGTCCCGAAGAGCATCAATCCTACATGGACTTGTTATTAAGCTATCTGTTGAAGATGAAACCAGTTACAACGGTGTGGTTGACAGAATAATGTAAAATATATATTCTAGTACTATCGGTATTACGCGTAGGACATGAATTCCTAAACTGGGCGTCAAAATAATCTAAAAATAACAACAAACAACACGTTCAGTTTATATCAGAACCTAACGATATCGGAATGCAGGCTGCTCTTAAACAAATGCCCTGTGTTACCTAAAGCTGATTAACCCAGCGGTCTTAAAATCAAAGTGATGACTTGATACAAGGCTTTTTTTTACAGCTTTCTACTTCTATAGACTGTGTTTTCACAACCAAAGAACTTTTGGTTTGTCAATAAAAAGGGTATTTGTTTGTTTGAATGTCAATTTTAAAACAGTAATATCTTTGAGACGAAAACTGGTTTTGTATTTTTTTCTTATCAGTGATCGGGTCTTTTGGCCACTTTTGATCGATTTATCCAGTTCGGTTTCAAAAGCGATTTACTTTTTAGCAATAAGAGCTGTTAGCGGGATGGCTGGTAAATATTTAGGTACGTATATCTGAACAGATTGAAGGCGTGCGCGAGTCGGTGCCGCTTGGATGGGCAAGCCCGAGTACTTTGAGTGTTTACATGAATGGCGAAGAGACAAGAGCAAGGGTCGCGTGGCCCTTTGGGGGTCTGGGAGACTTGACATGACTTGAGAGCCACTGTATACTTTCTGAATTCTTTATCTTCGCAATACGCCATGATTCCTAAATCTTTAAATAAATTTGTCCAAGTGGCCGCACGGAAGCAGTTTTTATCAAGAGATACACCATCAACAAATAGGTCGTACTTTTGTACTTATTCAGTGTTAGGAGTACACAAAATGCGGGGAGGTAGGGAGGGGGAGGGTAGATGATCTAGCATCCCATCTGAGGGGATGGGAGGGTAGTTTGGACACCGATTCTTAGAACTTGAACGAACTTCACATTTCTTCTAACGAACTGTTAAAAAATATATTACATTATTAAAGGTTACACCATATAATTCGATAGAAGTTCACAAGGTGAAGCATGTATCAAATGTGAAGCATGTTAAACTATGCATATCAACATCCAAAAACACTATTGAAAATAGCAATGAGTAAAAACCAAAAAATAGTTTGGCGCCCTTCATTCTGCCAGCCCGACTGGATTCGTGGCTGGATTTTAGATATTGTCACGCTGTTTTGTACATCCCGCCGACATGGGAGGAGACTTGGCAAGACCGCATTGCTTGCATGAGTGACTCGATTAGTGCTGAACATTATAAAAGGCAAACAAAACATACCCGAGATTCACTGAGCTGGGTGCAAGCAGGGTCACAGTTGACGAAAGTTATGATCCACTCAAATCGTAAGTTCTCTTTGTAAACTTTGAACTATGATACATTTGCTTTCTGTCCGAATTATACAAATCAGATTCCTATACTGTGCAGTGGTCCGATTTTTTTAATCAGTCGCAAGGTTATACCATTTATATATTCTCTTAAAATCTGATCGCAACATGACAAGGAACAATAAAATCTTGCCACGGAGGCAAGCGTGGTGATACTCATTTTATTTACTTAGAGTAATATGATCGAATCCAATTTGCGCACGTCTCTTGTTTATGATCAAGTCAGAGAAATGCATTCAAATTGTTGTCTTGGATATCGTTTGTAATCCTTTACTATAGATTTCGAAGCTTGATCAAGCACATGTACAATGTAATACTGCAAAGCAAGCACTGAAGTATAAATACTAATCGTATAAGTATAGAAATTTACTTGACAGCTGCTCATCTTAATTCCGGACAAAAGTAATTAATATATGGCGATCAAGTCAGATATGTCGGTTGCAAATTTGCGGCAAATGAAGTGCAAGTAATTATTTGGCTGGGCCTGCAAGACAAAGAGACAATTTTAACGAGTGATGTAGCGTAGCTAGAGTGAATTATAGAAGTTATGCCACGCAACACACAAACTCCTCCTTAATAATAACCAATAGAGTAACTGATGAGTTTTGTTATTATTTATTTCCTCGAAGATATTAGCTTTTTAGCTACCTGTAAATTCGAGTCAAAATAAAGTTATGTATGTATGTCTGTCTGTATGTATGTATGTATTACTGAACATATCTTATGTTAATTTCTTTGTTATATTTTTCTTTTTGTATTTTCCAGTTTTCTCCCTCATCATGACTGCACTACACGCTCTCGTTGTTTCGTTGTTGATTGTTCTCGGTGCCGCTGAAGAAACGGTAAGACTTTTTTGTCCACAGAATTTTTAAATCAAAAAGGACGAAAATTTGAGTAAGAAGTATTGTCGACATCTGACAAAAATGCGAGGTTCAATATCAATGATATACATGTAATATCGATCTTATCGCACATTCATTATGCCATCGATATTTGTTCAGTTTGGAAAACAAAGCGACAAAACAGATTATGCTCACGATACCGAAAAAAAAAAAAAACTTACTGTAATCTTTCTTCGCGGGAAAGCAAATTTACCAGAGATAAATTTTTACAAAAAGATAAGCGACATTAGTAAAAGACGTCCTCAAACTACCTCATATATGATATTAATATTCGACTGATACTTCTTTTTTTTTCACTTGGATTCCATGACAAAATAACCAGTTTAGATTTATTATAAGTGACCACGTTTTGCTTTTATTTTTCTTTTTAAACTTCCTCCGAACAGAGCTAAACTACCTCAAACTACCTCATATATGATTATAGTATTCGACTGATACTTCCTGCTTTCTTTTTCACTTTAATTCCATGACGAAAGAACCAGTTTAGATTTATTATAAGTGACAACGTTTTGCTTTATTTTTCTTTTTAAACCTCCTCCGAACCAAGCTAAACTACCTCAAACTACCTCATATATGATTATAATATTCGAGTGATAAGTCGTGTTCCTTCTTTTTTCACTTGAGTTCCATGACAAAATAACCAGTTTAGATTTACTATAAGTGAACACGTTTTGCTTTTATTTTCTTTTTTAAATCTCCCCCGAACCGAGTTGTTATAGGAAGGAATTCTTAGATTTCATGCTACGCAAAAGAACTAGGCACCATTCATGTTACTTTTAATTTATTACATAGAAATTGAAATTGTTTTTCCTTTCTTAAAATTGAATTTCACAGCAAGTATCAAGGCAAGCGTTTGCAAACTGGAGAGCACTACGGGGATTTGGAAGGAATTCAGGTACAGTAAACGTAACCGATAAATCGAATAAAAAAAAACACTACAGAAGAACTTGAGCAGTTTTCTTGCAGAAGCCGTTGAATATTTCCTGTTTAATTTGTTGTGATAAGAGTACTAAATGTACGAAACTTTAGGCTCAATAGACCACTTTCCATATATTAAAACTCAGCTTGATAGCGGCCTAGAGGACACAAACAAAAGAAATGAATAAACATGGTAATTCAATCTCCTTTGTTTGTTTCCTCTAAGCCTCATTGCCAAGCTGAATTTGAATATCGAAAACGGTCTATTCACATATGCTTAAGGCTCTAGTTATGTTGTTTTGATATATATACTACTGTAGTTATGCAACGCTTCTGAGTGGTATACCATGGTATATCCTCCGAGTTACTTGTATTTTCTCGGTATAAACACCAGCAGCCTTCAGGCGAATGTTTATATCGAGAAAATACACGTGACAAGTGGTACATTCCATGGTATACCACGAGAGAGCGTTGCGTCACTATTTATACCATGCCATCGAAAATACAACACAATCAATGCGACATACGCGCGGCGCATGATGGCAAGATTGGATGTGATATCGTCGATTATATAATGACCCAAATTATTCTCGCATTTTGATTGGTTCTAGCCTATGATCTATTAGAGGACAGACGCACGATTGACGTTATCAGTAACAGATCACAGATGACGTCAAAATGTGGTAAGAACAAAAACGTGGCACACGTGGCGATAGCCGAGTGTGTCACTGATGTTCTTACGTCTTCTGCGGATCTGTTACTGAACAGACGCACGGCAACATGGAATCTATTTGTTTTATATTATAACGATTCAAACTACTACAGATATAGCTTTTTTATTTTTATTTCACCATAAGATTCTGAAATAAAACTCAAACTCGCTTCTCGTGGAATTAAGACTTACAGCGAAAACTACAAAATCTACAAATCTTAACTGAGAAAATGCTGGAAAAGTCAAATCAGTGTTTGTTATCAGAGTAGCCCTGTGAGCCAAAAAGCTTGGACGTTGCCTTGAATATTGCAGGGGTGAAAAAATACGCTCGGAAAACTTACGGTTGTGGTCAACCTGGAGGCTATTTGATTCGAGGTTTTCAAAGAAAGGAGCGTCAATATATTAGTGACGGAGGAAATTTGTGTCCTCAGTGGTTGCTGATTCTCAAATCAGTTTGAAATAGTGTCGGAGACACCTTTCAGCTGCGATGCGGTTGGCCGTGAGCTGTAGTGAGCTACACTTTGCTTGTGGCTGTGCCCTGAAACGGACTGGAACATTCGCATCGGAAGGCAAGGTTATGTGTTTAATTTAACTGATTTTAAGAAGTGATGCTTTGATGTTTCATTCCTGACATCAATCAGTGTGTCAACAGTTGTTTTGAGACTGAGAAAAGTTGAAATTTTTAAATAAATTAATCTCATAAACATTTTGTGTACTGGGTTTGTTAAATTCGAGATAAAGCAATGGTTCTTGGCTTACCAAGACCAATTTTGTGCTTTGAGACTGCTCGAGTATTTTTCTCTGAGTCATTTTCTAAAAAAGAAACGGCTTTATCTTTCTCCTTCCTGCTTCTCGTACCTGTTCAATGCCTCGACAAGACTTTTTTGTACCTTATCTTTTGCCCAGTCACGTAAAATATTATCTAACTTCTCAAAACTTTCCACCATTTTAAAACACAGAGGGGAAAACTTTGTAATAATGATGTCAATCGTGCGTCTGTCCTCTAATAGATCATAGGCGAGAGCCAATCAAAATGCGAGCATAACTTGGGTTATTATATAATTGTTAAATATACAACGGCTTTCCTGTATTCTGACTGGCTGTATTTTGTATGGCATGGCATAAATACTGATATGCATATATGAAGCTTGTTCCGCGAACGCTTGTTCATTAACACTAACGCCGTCCAATCAAAACCACCGAACAAAACACTGCATGCTTGAATTTAAGTCTTAACTAATTACTATTCGAATCGGCCGTTTCATTTAGTTAGTTATCGTTCAGCAGTCGCAGAGTTCGGACTAAAAGCAGTACGTTTAGTCGCTGCGTTTTCGTTTTCGATTTTTGTAATAATTGCAGAATTTCGTATCGTCGAAACAAAGCTGTTTAATATCGATTTAAGCTTAATGGCACAATTCAGCCAAAAGAATACCAGTCAACGTAACTAAATTAGTACTAAGATGGATACTTTTTGTTTGCTGCCAACGGAGTCACAACATTTTGCTCAGCGTAGCCTCATGTTATGTTTATTCATAACATAAAATTGCTCTTACCAACAGTCCAAAATGCACCACCTCAAATGTGCGTAAAAGCTGTTGACATTGGATTTGTGATGGATAGACGTCTCAGAAGTGATGGTTCCGGCACAGACTGGAATGACGTCATGTACTTTGTCAAGAATATAATTGACAGCAAATTTGAAATCTCTCACGACATGACGCACGTTGGGGCCATTTCGTTCGACGAAACTTCAGCAGAGGTACTTCTCGACTTTTCGCAAGGCAACAGTTTAGATGCCGTAAAGCAACAGATGGAAACCTGGCGCCCTGGTGCTGAAGCTACTACAGGTGGTCCCGTTGAAATAGACAACGCTCTACAACTTGCACTTGATCTTTTCACCGACGGCGCTGGAGCGAGAGGATATGACGAGGTTAGGTTATGAGTATTTATCATTATCACTGATTATTATCATTATCACTGATCATTACCATTGCCATTACCATTGCCATTGCCATTACCATTACCATTACCATTACCATTGCCATGACCATTGCATTACCATTACCATTGCCATTACCATTGCATTGCCATTGCCATTACCATTACCATTACCATTGCCATTACCACTGCATTGGCTTTGCCATTACCATTGCCATTGCATTGCCATTGCATTGCCATTGCCATTACCATTACCATTGCCACTGTCATTACCATTGCATTGCCAATGCCATTACCATTGCCATTGCCATTGTATTACCATTGCCACTGCCATTAGCATTAGCATTGTCATTTTCATTGCCATTTCCAAAGCCATTGCCACTGCCATTACCATTGCATTGCCATTGCCATAACCATTGCCATTACCATTGTCATTATCATTGCCATTACCATTACCATTGCCATTGCCATTTCCATTGCCATTGCCATTGCCATTACCATTGCCACTGCATTACCATTGCCATTGCCAATGCCATTGCCATTGGATTGCCATTACCATTACCATTGCCATTTCCATTGCTTTTGCCATTTTCATTGCCATTACCATTGCCATGGCCACTGCATTACCATTGCCACTGCCATTGCCATTGCCATTTCCATTGCCATTACCATTACCATTGCCAATGCCATTGCCATTGCATTTCCATTACCATGGCCATTACCATTGCCATTGCCATTGCCAATGCCATTGCCATTGCATTGCCATTACTATTGCCATTGCATTGCCATTGCCATCGTCATCATTACTGATGAATGTGAATTATTATTATTATTATAGCACAATGGTGCACATCTGCAACAATCTAGGCAATTCTCTTAAAACCGATTTCTACTTTTAAATTTTACCTGAAAAACAAATTAATTACTGACTTTTAAATAGCACGTCGCGATGGCATGTCACTACATTTTAGTATTTGTTGTATGATGAATTTTCTATTATTATTGTTTAAAGTTTATCGCATTTTTCTCCGTTTAATTGAATTGTAAACCACTTCTTTTAACTTGATTAGTTTAGCTCTTTTGTATTGTCACTGAAAAGTCCCATCAGGGGACTGTCAATAAACTATTGTATTGTATCACTATTATACTATCATCATTACTTTTTATTTTTTATTTTTTTTACTTTGAATTTTTTTCCAGGAATAACAGTTTGTTAAAATATAAATACGGAATAAATACAGAATGTTCACAGAACGAAACAATGTGCTACGAAATATTAAACTCCTAAGAGCTGAGAGACACTCTGCCAAAATTCTACCGTTCATCCGGTAAAATAATTCAACAATTGAAGAAAAGGAATTCGACACACTCTGTTTATTAACAATTCCGCAAGTCTACGCTGCGAAAATTAATTTTGGAGTAAATATGAGCTAAAAGCTAAAAAAAGAAATTACATGCTCCAATCAAACTCACTTCCATCGTTGCTAAAGAATAAAGTTAAAATCTAAAATGCAAAAACCAGTGTTATTATTAATATTAGTTTCAATATTATTATTATTAGGGAGCCATTATGTAAACACTGTTGAAATAGGTTTTAATAGTTTATTTCTTTTACTTATTTTTACCTTGTATATACCATTTCTATTATTATTATTATTATTATTTTTATTAAGTAATTGTTGAAAACAAAAGATCTGCTGTTGATCTGCTAGCAGAGCAGTCAAACATGCATGCCTAGAATTCTTGTAAATATACTGACATCGAAGACCGCATGTCTCGATTGTCGGTTCGGTGCAACATCATGTTAGCTGATAACGTCTTGGAATATGTATACTACAACAAATAAAACATAATTGTTAGATTCGGTTGGCATAGTCATAATCCAAGTATGCTAATTTGATAATATGATAATCCAAGAAAGTGAAGAATGATCATCGCAGTAAATTTTCCAATTTAAGTAACAGGAAAGAAGAAGCCTGAAAAAAATCAGGGCTTCAACGGGATTCGAATCCCGTTGAATCCCGTTGAGGCCCTGATTTTTTTCAGGCTTCTTCTTTCCAGTTGCTTAAATTGGAAAATTTACTGTCATGATCATTCTTCACTTTCATCTACAACCGCAGTTCTATATGAATTATTTCATATATACTTCACATGATAATCCAAGTCCTACCATTGATAAACAATTATTGGATGAGGTTTCTGTGATATCCAGAATAATCAAGGTCGAGGTAGGGGTTATCAACGGAAGACAAAGGCTGAGGCTGATAACCCTTACCGAGATCTAGACCTTGATTATTCTGGAAATCACAAAAACCGATTCTAATAAATGTTTTATTATACATTGAACGGAAAAAATGGAAGTCATGTTTTTGATTATACAGAAGCAGAGAGGTCTGTATCAAAACAAGGTCAACTCCAGCCTCGCTGCCATCCAAAGGCCAGGTCACTGAGCAGACAACTGTAAAATGGTCTATTGGGGACACTGTAAATAAATAAACAAATCTTGCAAATAGGGTATAAACTATTAAGAATACCAACTGGCGGGAGGCTGACCAGTTGGCCATTTGTGGACAACGCGGTCGAGGAGTTGAACTTGGGACTACTGAGAACAAATCCAGCGGTAGGGAAGAGGATCTGAACCAGCGACCTCCAGATTTCAAATCCAGCACCCTAAACTACTCGGCCACGCTGCCTTATCCTTTAGATAGCAACCGTTATACACAAGAATCTTATTGTGTGATTTTTGAAACATTAAAAAGGCTTATTTTCTGGATCGCAGGTACTGGTGTTAATGACAGACGGACGTTACGACATTACAATTCCAAGCAAACTTGTGAGTGATCTTAGGAAGAAAAACGTCAACGTCATCGTGGTCGGCATTGGTCTCGCCGATCCAGTACAGCTTTGGATGATTTCCAACAACCCGGATACCGTGCTAAACATGGTGGACCCGAAAGACATTGAGTCTGTAGCCGAGAACGTTAAAATGCTCGCTTGTGCTAACCCTACCCCTAAAGCGTAAGGTAAAAATCGCTTGCACTGAGTCTGAGACATCTGCCATGGCGAAACCTGATTGCGTTCTTAATTTGAAAACTTATGAAGGACACAAGTAAATCTAATAGGAATAATTAAAAAGTAAGCATAACAAGTTAGGCGCCAGAAGAAGTTCTTGTTGCTGTTTTAGGCGTAAGGTAGCCAAAGATCTTTGTCACAAATAGAGGTCATAATGATTTATGCTTGATTTTTACACTAATGAAAAATTAATAAATCACGTCTTGGCAGTTCAACAGGCGTCTTTTCTTTCGATCGATATTAAAGAATTGGTTCATGCTTAGCGTGCGCATATATGGATGCACGCAGGACGTTTGGAGAGCACGAAAGAAGCGTAAGAGTTGCTTCAACCTTCCGTATATATCCACATACATTGGTATCACATGAGTAATATCCCCCCATTCACGCAAAGATACCCCGCACTGCCTGTCAGTCAATTTTCAGATATCGTAAATGGCCGCTTATAACCCCTCCCGCCTATAAGCCCCTCCCATAGTCTAAAATGAAATGAATTCGATTTATTTTTTAATTAAAAACCAGTATATGAAAAGCGTACTTTGATCATCACTAATGTAGCTTATTTTGAAACGGTTTCTCACCCGGTTATAAACCTCTCCATTTATGCGCCCATTCAAAACCCCCATTGCAATGCTGTATATGGGGCAGTTTAGGGTATTCAACAATTCAAGCTAGAAATGGTCTGATATTTGAGCTGTATCTCTTCCCAAAAAACTGTATTTTTGGGTTCTAATGATGCCAAATTGTCCTAATTTTGTTCGAAAAGCACTGTATTTAACAAGCTAGATTTAAAGGTGTACATATTACGATGCAAAATACTTTGCTTTCGTCCATGCGTATTAGGCAAAATTTGAACCTTTTTCTTGCTCCTTTTTGTTCCTGATTGTGTTTCTTTCGACCAGCTTCGTCAGCCTGAAGTCGAATTCAAACTATCGTGCTGAGAGATCTATTCCATCTGTACTGCTGATATGCAAATTAATATAAATTACTGACCTAACAAGTGGTTCAATGACTGCTCCTCCAAATTGCCACAAAAGTCAGCTTTGGGAGCAAAAGGGTATATTGGATTTAATTAAATTTAAATGTTTTATATCTTGTTTGCGTAATAATTCAGAACAAGTTCCTGAATGGATAACTACCTTGTTTTTTCTATTTTACGAGCGTACTTAATTTCGCGAAAAATTCGGGAGCTGTATTTCGCGAGTATTAATATTCTCGATTCCAGGAAAATACTACACGCGAAGATTTACGTTCGCCGATTTACCATTTTTTAATCTCCCAAATCCTGATCCAAGGACCCCGTTTCACTACAAGAGACTACAAATGGAAATTTGACGACTGTATCAAAGAGGTTTCCTTAGCGGAGTTACAAGCTGAAGGTACATTGTTACGGTGAATGGGAGGAAGAGTTGAAAACAAGACCATAAGCACTTTATATTTTCAAGGAAATCAATGGGCCACTTCGATATATCAATATTCTAACATGGCTCCGAGGCTTTCAGGATAAACTTCTATAGCTGGTGTTGTTTTTTTTTGTATCTATGTATCTAATGGTAATTGAAAGACAAAAGAAACTGGAAAAATTTACAATTTTGACCCGACAGCCTCAGATTTCAGATTTCAGATTTTTTATTAATTGACACTATTTACAGACATATTTCACTATCGCACACTATTACAAAAAATTCATTAATCAAAATAAGGAAAATATAATAATAAAACCAAAACAAAATGTGCTCAGTGACCAAAGAAGCATATGCTATCGTGTTGGTCACTGACACGTTCAAAAATAAAAGA